GCCACCCTGAAAAGTATATAGTGAAAGGCACGTCTTCCTTCGGTTCTCCTGCACTCTAGTAACTTTCATTACCAAGAAATAATAATCAAAGTTCATACCATTTGACTGGGTTTTTTGGGCAATAGACATTATGTGTGGGAAGTTAAAAAGCAAAAGGTTAAGAATTTTACACTGAGTAAACTACAATTAAGGCTGTAACGGACCATTTGAGAGTAAAGATGTGAACCTGGGAGCCATGTTGAATTTAGAACTCTATTTTGCAGGCTGGGAATGACTCGTCGTGCATCACAACAGTGCTGCTGCTGGCCAGGACCATGATGTTCAGCTCCTGTTGCTTCTCATGGGTCTGCTGATACCATTCGCGGGTCACTTCTGTGTCATGAGTAGGTATCAATGTTACCTACAAATAGGACAGAGTAAGACATTAATATATAATATGACATTAATGCATAATGGCTTTTTTGAACCATTTCAAATCTTCAATGAAACTGAAACTGACTGTAAATAAAAAATTAATGAATTAATTACCAAAATATTTATATGCATAGCATTCATAAAATATCCAGCAAATTAATCAGCAAATTACAATGATCCAATGTTGACATCTACCACAGAGAGAGCAATTAACGAATATTATACCAGGGTTTCTACAGACACGAACAAGTTAAATGTAAGACTTTTAAAGACCTTTTTAATACCACCTTATATGAAATTTAAGACCTAAACCTGTAATGAAATACACATTTTATTACATACATATATGTAATATTTAATGTTTTCAAATCTTCAATGAAACTGAAACTGACTGTAAATAAAAAATTAATGAATTAATTACCAAAATATTTATATGCATAGCATTCATAAAATATCCAGCAAATTAATCAGCAAATTACAATGATCCAATGTTGACATCTACCACAGAGAGAGCAATTAACGAATATTATACCAGGGTTTCTACAGACACGAACAAGTTAAATGTAAGACTTTTAAAGACCTTTTTAATACCACCTTATATGAAATTTAAGACCTAAACCTGTAATGGAAATACACATTTTATTACATACATATATGTAATATTTAATGTACATATTTACCTTTACAAAGGCCTATTTTAACCTTTTTAGATGTATGCATCATCTTACATGTCAAATTATTACAATTTATCAATAAATTCAATATACACTATAGGGCTGCTACCAGTCAGATTAAATAATTTACACTGCAATAAATAATGTTATGAGATTAATGTTTTCAATGCATTTATGAATATACAAATAAGAAATGTTGAGGGGAAAAAACCAAGCAAATGAAATCAGTATCAACAAAATTCATCTTTGCAATCCAGACATAAGCTGCACCTGAAGTGGCATTTAGATGTGTTTACACACTGTTTAATGCAGAACATGAATGCATTTAACCTGCAGTTACAAATGCATAAATAATGTTTTGACATATTAAACATAAAACATTGAATACTGATATTTGAAATAATGAAAAAAAATGAAAAGATACTTTAAATGTGAAATTAAAACCAGTAGGTGGCATCAAGTCACTGTTAATAAGTGAGACTTTGAAACTGAACCGAATCATTTAAACAGTTGAGGAACAAAACGCTGTCATGTTGCTCAAAGACGCAAAACAGCGCTGTGGCTTTGTTTGGAATTATTTTTGTTGGCGAAATAGTGCAAAAACAGGCAACATGGTGTCTAAAACGTAAGTCTCTTAATAAAACTTCTAGTTTATTGGACTGTTGTTAAAAATCAATATCACATTTGTATATGGCAATTTTTGGAGAAAAAAAACGCACTCTTCCGTGTGAACTTGTTTAACTATATGAAGTGGTATAAATATACACATTTTCTGCCCCCATGTCTTGAATTTGTGATCATTCTGAATGTATTTTAATAGACTGAATCATGCAGTGAAAGAGTGCACTCTAAATGCGCACGCGCACTAGACTTCACATAATGCCTGCACTCTGTAGGTGCTTTTTTGCGTCGTGAGAATATTGAGCAAAATAGTTCACTTGTCATGGTGTTACTTAACTATATCATGTTATGAATAAACTAAACATTTTGAATTTTTACCTCAGTGTGTTTCTTCTGAGTTTATGTGTGCTGTCACGCTTATTTATTCTGAAGTCTCGAGACAAACAGAGTGAGCCTCAGCGCCTCAGAGTGAGCCTTGTATTCTGTTAACTTACTGCAATTCTCTCTGATGACGCAGGGGAAGAAAAAAATCTTCGGTCTGTCCAATGATTGTAAACAGTCATTAGGTCCGTCAGACTGAAGATATTTTAGCGGTAATGTGACCAAAAATATTTAAGACCCATCAAATCCGAATTTAAGACATTTTAAGACTTTGTAAGGCCTTATATTACGAAAACGTTATTTAAGACATTTTAAGACTTTTTAAGGACCAGCGGACACCCTGTATACCTGAAGATTGGATCCCCACTGTGCCTTTCCCTCTAGCAAGGCATCTAGTACACTGCGGCTCGGTTCTCCACTGCTGGAGTCGTTTCCACTCACTACATAATATGCAGAACGAACACGTTTGAAAAACTCCTGGTCCACATTTTTAGCACTGCAGTGGTTGGGAATGTAGGCCAGATCCACATAGATAGGAGGACCAGGGGGCACAGACGCACTGAATTTAGCAGAATTTGATCCTGTTGGAAAATTTAAATTAACAAAAACTTGCTGTTAGTGTGATGTTGGCAAAATCTTAATTTGCATATTCAAATGTTTATGTTCATACCCGCACTGTTCTTAAGGCCATTGACAAGGCCTTTGCCGGTGTTATGGCTTGACCTTGACAGATCGTCCTCCATTTCCTTCTTCCTAAGAGAAGTGGTGTGAGTGGAAGGCTCCTTGGATGGGGACCTCTTCCGCCTGGCATCAGTCTTCCGAGCAGGAGATGAGGACTTTGTCTTGCCTAATTTACGCAAACCCTTTGATTTGGAATCTTTCTTGATTGGTTTGTCGGTTAGGCTTGACAGAGCCTCGGGATCAACCATACATACATCAGGGCGAGGGGGACAAGGAGCAGGATCCATCATTGGTGACGGGAAGGGATCGTGACTTTTAGCAGGCGACCTTGACCTTGATGAGTAATGCTTCCCCCCATAAGCTCCAGATGATTTATCTACAGGCAGGTAATCTGCATCCTCATCAGAGTCATTGTTTCCTTCTGCTGTGATTGATGGACACTTTTCCGTACCTGGTGGTACATCAGAATCTGACTGGGAATGCAGTGGCTCACTGACAGAGGTTGGAGGTGTGTCCTCTCCACTGGCACTAATCCCAGCAGCCATGGCACCAGAGAATTGTTGCAATTCACTGTCTTCGCCATGATGACTGTGAGAGTGGTGATGGGGTTGTTTGTGAGATCTGGTCTTCCCAGAAGGTTGCTGTTGATTGGATCCTTGGCTTCTCTGTTCCTCATTTTCTTCATCACTTGAAAGTTGACATAAGCTTGGGTTGATAAAGGATGGAGATGTGTCTCCTCTTCTCTGCTTGTACTCACAAGAGGAATAGCCTGGAGAAGCTGTGGATGAATGTGGATGGATACCAACATCTGAAGGATAGTCAGAGTCATCATCGTGTCTGCTTGGATCATCTGCATAATAGGAAGTTTGGAAAGGTTGGTCTGTGGAAGAAAGAGAAAGAGGACGGGCTGGGTGCTCTGGCTCAGCCTCTTCTTCTTCTTCATACTCATCTTCATGTTGATAATGAGGTGGGGATGCTCCTGGGTAGATGTCTCGTTGCTGCTGCATTTCCCATTCACTTGGGCTTCTAATTTTCATCACGTCAAATTCTTGGCCTTGCATCTCTATTTTTGACAAGCCTATCCCCACCTTGCTGGTTCCTCCAAAAGCCTCTGGTGCACTCAAACTAACTTCTGCAGGCCCGTTTGTTGTGTCTGGTTTTGTGGGCTCAGGGAAAGAGGAAGTATGTGAGGTAAGTGCATCTGGGATAGTGGCTCCCAAACCAGAAGATATGTCCTTTGTTAGTGTCTCACCCAAGGAAAATGTGGTATCGTTCTTGTCTGCTTGAGCTGTAAGTGGAGATCTTTGGTACCGAAGTTTATCCTGTTCAGTTTCGTACATATAATCGCCCTCCTCTTCACTACTCTCTGTGTCTTCATAGTACTGTTTTTCAGGGCACTCAAATTGAAGTGTTGATGAAGCACCATACAGGTCTTCAGGCATGGTGTCTTTCTGTGTGGTCAGAGGCATAGAGGTATAAGGTCCAGTTGCACCAAATTCATCTTGTAATCTTGAGTCCTCTTCCCACTCCGATTTGCAAAAGCACTGACTTTTTGGACCTTGATCTGAGATATTGCTTGTAGAGTAAGCAGGTTCTTTCTTATCACCTATGCAAGTACCAGCATGTGGAGGGAAAGGCTTGATCTCCTCAAAAGGTGATAATGGTGAGACTCTCGCAAGGCTAGATGTGGATTCAGCTGTAGTGGTTGCAGGGGTCAGCTTTTCGGACACTTCCAAATATTCATCCTTAGCCTGCCCACCAGAACTAGAGAAGGGTGAGTCCATTACTGGAGAATGTTCATCTTTGAAAGATGAGTACTCAAATCCAGTACTGGCTGGAGTCCCTATCTCATCCCCAAACTGGCGGCTAGTGGACAGAGATGCTGAAGCTGATGAGGAATGACTGTAAGAAGAGGAAGAGGAATATGCTGTGGCTGACATAGTTGTGTAACTGAAGCCCAATGAAACAGGGTCTCCTGTTTTTTTCTCTGCTCCATCTGGTGTCTTTTGCTTGTCAAACTCAATATCTTTGCCATCATAGTGAGTAGAGAATTTATCTTCAGCAGACTTTGTTGAAAGGGGTAAATATGACTTGACACCTTTCCCATAATTTTCGACAAACTCATCTCTCTCCTCACTTGAAGAATGTTCAAATCCAGATGAGCCTGTAATATGACTTTTAGTATGAAAAGATGAGGCATCACCTTTAACAGTTTGCAATGAGTCCTTGGGGCCCTCATGGATTAGAGTGGATTCAAATGTCGATGAACCTAAAGATTTCCCATAGGTGTCAGAGCCAAAGCTGTAGTCCTGTGTAATGGTGTCTTTTTTTACATCCTGGAATTGAGTAGGTACAGTGCTGATGACACTACTTAGAGAGTGCTGGGCATCTTTCTCTTGTCTGTCTTTGGCACCTTTCTCTGTGTCACTATCACTTACATGCTCTCCATACTCCTCATCCTCGTCATCTTCATCTTCCTCATCTTCTTCATCTTCATCCTCTCCATCAGCAAACATCTTCATGTCTCCAGCCTTGACTTCTTTTGTGCTAAATGTAGACTGGCCTAACACAGAACTCATACTTTTAGCACTGTAATCAGAGCTGAAGCTTGCAATGAGTCCTTGGGGCCCTCATGGATTAGAGTGGATTCAAATGTCGATGAACCTAAAGATTTCCCATAGGTGTCAGAGCCAAAGCTGTAGTCCTGTGTAATGGTGTCTTTTTTTACATCCTGGAATTGAGTAGGTACAGTGCTGATGACACTACTTAGAGAGTGCTGGGCATCTTTCTCTTGTCTGTCTTTGGCACCTTTCTCTGTGTCACTATCACTTACATGCTCTCCATACTCCTCATCCTCATCATCTTCATCTTCCTCATCTTCTTCATCTTCATCCTCTCCATCAGCAAACATCTTCATGTCTCCAGCCTTGATTTCTTTTGTGCTAAATGTAGACTGGCCTAACACAGAACTCATACTTTTAACACTGTAATCAGAGCTGAAGCTGTCAGTTGCATAATGGCCTGATTGTAATGCACCACCCTCTGCCATTTCACTGAAATCTGGCTTTTCCAATTTAACTGAAAATGGGTCTCTCTCTGCTGAAACAGGTGAGTCTTTCTCAGTTTTCTTTTCTTCAACTTCCTTTATTTTCTCGGAGAATGTTCCTTCAGGTGTATCCTTTAACTGTGTTGTCCCATATATACCTTGTGTTTCACTATTTGAAGTTGATGATGCTTCCTTTTTCTCTGATGCTTTAAGGTCAGAAATCTTGCCAGTGGAAGAATCTAGGGAATCCTTATTTTCTGTTTTCTTTGGAGTAACATCAGTATCATCAAAAGTGTGCTCCTTTGGCAGATTTGGAGAGTAGGAATCCACTGAACTCGATTTACTGTCATACACATCAGAGTATGTAAAGCTCTTCCCAACATAGGGTGTATCTTGCCTAACCACCCTCTCAAATTCCCCTTTGAGGCCTTTCTCACACTCAGGGAAGGAATACAAGTTGAAGTGAACACTTTTATCGCTGTCTTTAGAAATCATTTTTGGGTCATCTATCTCTGAGAATGACACATCTTTTTTGCCTTGGCTTGCTGACATGGAATCTAACTTGCCCTGTGGTACTTTTACGCTTGAGTAAGTACCATCTTCGGTTTCACTTTCATCTTCCTCTCCTGAACTGAGCATCTGGGATTTGTACTCATGGCCCAAGTAGGTCACATTTTGTGGTTTATCTTCCTTATTCACAGATTCTTTCTCATTTTCAAACAGCTTCTCCTCTTTTAGGGGTGATGTCTCTTCAGAGTATTCTTCATCAAGAAAAGTGCACTCCCTCTCCTCTTTGTATTTAGTTTTACCACACACATTATAGCTTTCTTTTCCATAATAATCCTCTTTCTCTTCCTCTTCATCCTCTTCTGAGTCATATAATGCAGGTTTAGTGTCGGAAAGTTCCTTTCCAAAAGGATCCACTTCATCATCAATTATTTTCACAGACTTTTTGTCAGCAGGAGCCTCTTGGGCCAAACACCTCTGAGAATCAAATGTCTCCTTATCTAGTATTTCCAGTGGCTTTTGTGACCTCTCCTCAGTGGGAGAGTAGCTACTGCTGGTCGGTCCTGATTGTGTAGGTGAGGCAAACCTCACAGTGCTGTCATCTGGGCTGAGGCATCTTTCTTCACTCTCTGAAATAATACTTGTCTCTGAGGTGCAAGGCAAACTTTTCTCAGAGGAGCCCAATTTAGATTCATCATTAGAGAGTGAGATTCCCATTTCATCTTTTTCTTGTGTGCCAACATACATCATCTGAGGAGGAATAGGTGCTGTTGATAAGGGAAATTTATCATGAGCTTGCTCTTCGAGCATGGCAGCAGATGCATAACCCTCATGGAGCTTTCCAAGTGGCATATCAACATTTGGTGTCTGATCCTCATCCTCTTCCTCATCCTCTTCATCCTCATAATTTGTGGGAACAGTAGCCTTCACTGTAGTTTCTGTTTCTGGCACGATGGGTTGATATTCTTCTGAAGGAGGTGATTTAAAACACTTATCCTCCTCTAAGGACGAAGTTGGAGAAATAGTTCCAGCAGAGTGGAGGTACTCCTTTCCTTGAGTGTCATCTGTCTGTACGGATGATGGTATACTATTTACAGTATCTAAGAGTAAAGAGCTTTTTCCTGCATCTTCAGTAGGTGGTGCTGTCACGGATGCTATAGACTGATCTTCAGTAACAGATGTTGCAAAAGATGATAATTTGTCATATTCAGTGATGGAGGTGGCTGATGATATATGCTCTTCTTCAGCCAATGGAGCCGCAATTATATTGGTTGCGTAAGCTGATAGGACTGGCTCCTGGTCTACTGCAAAACCCTTTGATGATAACTCAGAAGCAATAGAGATGGTTGGTGGTTTCATGCCATGGATGGTGTCAAAAGTCCCTGGTTTATCAGGAACTGAGATGTCATAAGAGCCGACATCATACTGAAGATGTGGGATTCGCTCCTCTGTTTCCTCATTAATCTCCTCATCAGAAATGGTCTGCTCTGTCTCAGAGTAACCTGGAATGGTCTCATCTTGGATGAATGAAACATGCTCTGCAGCACCCAGCGGTTTGGCAGATTTAATGTCACTTTGTTTTGTCTCCCAGTCCTTTCCAAGTTTTTCTTTCCTAGCCTCATCAGATTTGTACGTGAGCTCCTCTTCATGCACTAAATCCTCTGCCTCCTCTAGCTCTGCTTTCTCAATTACATCCTCTTCTTCTTCACTGTCACTCTTTCTGGGTTTCAGTTCAAGCTCTTTCTCTTCTTCTTTTGCTTTTTCTTGCCATTCTTTATTTTTGCCCATCTCCAAAAAGTCAGATGTTTTAGCACTTTTCTGTTTTGTGGTATAGTCATCCTCTATGTCATCTTCTGTAGTAGCACCTTCATCTTCAAATCTATCTGTGGTTTTAGAGGGGGATTTAATTTCATTTACTCCATACGGTACCCTTTCCTCATGAGGGGACTCTGTCTCAACATCAGTTGTAGTTATTCCCTCATCAGGAGATTCAATGTGAGGTACAACACTGTCCGCTGCAGGCTGAAAATCTGGGAGCACTTTGCTCTCTGTGGGCTTGGAAAGCTCCTCCTCCAGTCGCAAGGCTTCAAAATCCTTGGTAAGATCTTCTGGGGAGGAGACTAAGGACCTGTCACTCTCCCGTTTCTCTATTGAAGCTTGCTTAGAGGCTGGCCTGTTTTCTTGCTCCTTAGCTGCTTTAGTTTTTTCTGTTTTAGGCTTTACTTGAACCTTTGCTTTGTTCAGAGTCTTCCGGACCTCGGGGGTGAAGGGCTTTAAGTCAGGTTTTGTGATTTTTCTCAACTCTGGCTTAATTTTTTCTTTTTCTTTTTTCTTCTCCTCCTTACTTTTGAGTTCTTTTTTAATGTCCTCTTTTTTTACATCTGCCCTTTCTTTCTTTGTGTCTTTCTTTTCCTGATCTTTCTTCTCCTCCATCTTAGATGCTTTCTCCTTGGTGTGTTTTTTAGGAGATTTTTCTCTCTGCAGCTTCTTTTTCTCTTGCTTAAGTGAATCGGGTGACGCTGTCTTGGGTTTAAGTGGTTTGGGAGTTTTAACAGTCTCTTTTATTTTCTTATCTTTCTTTTCAACTTTGTTCTCTTTTACAGAGTCACTCTTTGACTCAATGTCTTCATTTGCCTCTTTCTTGCTTGCTTTTGTAGTGGAAGACATTTTAGGGGATGATTTGAGACTTTCTTTGCTATCAGTTCTCAGCTTCATTTTAGTTTGTTTAATCAGTGGAGGTGGAGCTCCAGATGACATGTCTTTTTGAGTGGCTACTGGATATCGCAAGAAATCGAGATGCCTCAGCTTTTCAAGCCCCTCAAATATTTTGTTTTGTGGGGCATTTCCAGGAAACAGTACTCTGACAATCTTTTCTGTTGGACTGGCAGGTACCCACACAACCAGAGCTGTCACTGATGTGAGGTAAGGAACTGAAATCTCACCCTCTTTGCCATTGGCCAGGACGATGCCAGTCTTAGCTTTACTGTTACCAGCCCACTTCTGCATGAAGAATTGCATTTCCTTACTGTCCTTGAGCGGATTTAGAATATACATGTCTAGTTTGCCAACACCCAACTTGTGAAAGAGTGTTAAAGGCTCAATTGTGTTGCTCACAACTCTGTATAGAGGCTCAGGTTTGATGCCCAGTTTGTGAAGGTACTGCAATGTGAGAGAGGACTCCTCAATGCTCCTCTTTGCTTTCAGCGTGGACTCAGGCGTCTTCAGCTTTTCTGGTACATTAAAGAACACAACACCAAGCTCTGGTGAGATCAGGTTTTTCATCCAGTCTCCATAAGTATTTGAACCACAGCTCTTCTCTTCCTCCTGCTCTGCAATTTTTCTCTGTAACAGTCCATTTATTCCAGCGAGATTATCTGCTCCTATGTGGGTAAGGAGAACAGAATCAATCCTATCCAAATGTCTGACCAGCTTCCAGAAGCAAGATTTTCTGTCTGATCCACCATCGATTAAAATGTTAAAACCATTGACTGCAAACAAAGCAGAGTCGCCCCGTCCTCCAGGAAAGATATAGCAACATGGCTTGGACAACTTGAGGAACCCTCCTGAGGTTGGTGGTTCCAGGAGCTCAAAAGGAGAGGGAACATCCACTGTCTCAGAGACATATTCTGTAAACTCGCTCACCCCTTCCATCTCAGGCAGCACAGGCTCTGGATTCAGACTGTACTTCAGTAAGCTCTGCTCCTGTACGTACCCTAGGGAGCTCCAGCCCCCTTCTCCTTTACAGGACACAGTCAAACAGGCTTCCTGACCTGCAGATGGCTGGTTTAAGAGATCTTTAATCTACAAAGAAAAAAATGTAAATTTAATTTTTTTAAAGTTACATTTAAAAAATCAGCAAAAAAGTAAATGATGTGAAGTAAGTGCTGTGAAATATCATGGGGCCTATAATGGTACAGTGGCCACTTACCCTACGACTTGAGAGAATGTCAGAGAAATTTTTCCAACCAAACACTCCACTTTGCAGGGTAATGTCACCGCTCTGTTCAGTACTTTGCCCACTTAGGACCAATAACTTATGTCCTGCTGAGTCACAGAACAGTGTTCTGAACTAGAAAAGGAAGAAAATGCATTTACTGTTATATTTGATAGTTAAAGCAATAATTGGATATCTTAGATTATTATATGGTTGCATGCAAATAAAAAATTGGGAGGACTTGGAGAAGTAAAAAAAAACACATTGGGTTATTTATAATTACCTCTATAGCAATATTCTCCTCAGAAGGATTCACCAACACAACAGTCTCAAGAACATCACTCTTGTATTGCAAAAGTCTCTGTCCTAAAAAAAATAGGAGTTAAAAAACGCTGAATGTTTAAAATGCACTAAAATCTGCATATTTATTGACAATTTTTAAGATTTTGTTAAAGCATTTTATACGGAAAAAAATCAGAGATAAAAGCTTGCACCCTATTGGGATGATGCAATCACTGCCTTCATGCATTTCATTACTGTTTATTCATTATTCTTTGTCTCTTCCTGCTGCTGTGCAAGAGTACACTAATCCCGTGAAAGCAGTCTTCTCAATTCCAAGCAATCAAAACAATATTGCAAAGCTCCTGCAAGCAAATCTATTGGCTGTTGCCATGGGGATAGTGAGCTGGCGATTGCCGCCAGCCGCGTTACACTGACCCAGTCTTGGTGCTGCGCGACGCATTGCAGCATTTCTGAAAGGGTGAAAAAATCCTCTCTCTAGCTGAAAATGTAAATCCAGCATTGCACAGCTGAAACATACAAACAAGTTTATGACCCTGAGCATTATTAGGCTATAATAAGCATAAACCTCTCATTGGCTGTTTAAACATCACTGATTTAGATCTTTCTATAGGATATTTATAGGGTCATTTTCACAGCAGTGAGAACGGAACAAGGGCGTTTGGACTTACATAGCACACTGATGATCTGACTAGGCTTCTCACACATTCTCGGTATAGCGTAATGTACATAACATGATAAACATGTGATGAGCTTGAAAAAAGCTATCATAAAGATATTTTAAATGTAATGAGTCTGATTTTAGATACAAGCAAGAAAAATTGTGTGGATCATCAGATAGTAGCTAAAATGGAAAAAAAAATGAATAAATTAAATCTTTTTTTTCTGGCATAACATGAAGCAGTTAAAAACTCTACACTCCTGTGAGATCATACAATGGACTCTGGATGGTAGCAGTGGACTACAAATAGTCCTAACCCAGTTTATCCTTCAGACTCTTTTAACGGCATCATTTCACTTTGAATGTTTATTTGAAAGCGGAAACCTTTTAGGGAATTTTAGCTTGTTATATTTAACTCCAAATAATTCTAGTCCTTTATATACTAAGTTGAGTTTTGACCTTCCAGACATTTGACATCATTAAGACATCTTTTTCTACACAACTAACAGGATGCTTTGGGACAGCTGTCAACGTGACCTTCAGATGTGCTTTCACTTTGAGACTGAGAACAGATAACAGGTTATGAGCAGCTAAATCAGGCTGCATGGTCTCCTGTGACATTGAGCATACACACACCTTCACCTTACTACCATTCTAAAATAAAAACTGCATTTGTAAATTCTACTGCAGTTCATGTCAGATGAAAGAATTTGGATGTGGAAGTGCTTTGTGCTTTTATAAGAAAACTATTCTGAAGATTTTTCTTAGATGCATACTCTAAATGTAATACTAATGGCACAATATTAGATGCCACAGATAAAAATATCCATATTTTCATATCCATAGTCATCTGCTATGTATGTACTGTGTAGCACTAGGACCCAGCTAACTACAAATGATTGTGCATAATACGAAATCATGCTGAAGAAATCTACCCATGACATTAAACTCCTCCTTTTTAGTCATTTAGTTGTGGAGCAAACAGTTAAATTTATCACTTTGCACAAACAGTTAACCAGCAAGGTTATTCTGTGAGTTAATTGCACTAAATAAGGTTAAGAATAGAGTTCATCCAATAATAATCAGTCCAATAGAGTCAAATATTCAGGTCACTTCACTGAACATATGCTCCGCTTATTATGATCTGGATGATATGAAATGTTGCTGTTTTAGGACCAGAAAATATATAAACTGCCCCTAGTTAACATGAAAAAAACATATCAAATACTATTTCAAAACAACATATATCCATAAGTGATTTATATGCACTTGAATCATGTACACAGTAACAGTAATATTTAGCAGCTTAGCAGATGGTTTCTAAAATTAGCTAATTCAGTATCACTCAACTGAGAATGTAAAACACTGACAAATGGGGTCAGATGTATTTTACACTTGCTAAGACTAATTTGGTAAAAGTCAGTCTTAGATTTGAATGCAATCCAGAAAATAACTTTACTTTGTGCATTTTAAGCTTCACAAGCAATCTTGGCTTTTAGGATTAAATGATAAACACAAGTGATCCAGGCGATTGAAACACGCTTTCAGTGGGAAGAAATTAGTGAGACTGACTGATTGCCTCACAGGCTTAAACAGTTTTAAACTCTCACTTAATATTTGCTTTTGAACTCACTGTGCCTCCAAAATCTTTATTCCAAAATCTCGCATTAGCTAATTTTGGAACAGCAACACATGCCTTTGTGTTAAGAGATCATTATTTCAAAGTAGATATGACCATATGCGCGACATCTGAGCTCTAATTTAGCTTTGCCACCAGATAAAACTTGATCGTGACAGCTGAAACTATTCTTGCAATTCTGGTTCTTCACTCATCAGGAAGATGGAGTGTAAATGTGATTGTCTCATGGCTGAATTTTTCAACATCATTATCACTGAAGAGAATCAAAAGTTTTTATATTTTAAACATTTTCAGCTATTGTTGGATTACCATTTTCCTGTCCTTGAACACAAAAGCAATAACCACTACATTTCTGTATGAAAGATGTATTACATTTGTTGAGCCAATGTTATTTCATTTTATCTTTCTTTGCCTTGTCCTTGATCACTGCTCAGCTGCCTCTGAATCACACTGTGTGCAACACGAAGAGAGAGGAGGTGTGTAACACTTTTTAAACAGTTATCTAGGGATAGTGATTCAATAAGCAGCTGTAATCTTATTAAAGCCACCTAATCGTATCCATAGCAGTGAAATTCTGACCACTACAAGTGTCCTATTTGTGCCTTTGCAACCACAGCAACAAGTTCATGTCAGTCAAATTACTTGTTAAGAAGCAGGGGAGATAAAGTCTCCTTATAGCAAAGAAAGACAAGTGCTGAGCTCTCATTCATATGTTTGTGCTCTTGCGGTGTAATGGACCCCATTATGCTGTAAACAGCTGGAGCCAATGAATGAGGAATATGAGTAGAGTTTATACAAATGGCTCATTTAAATGCAATAAATGGCTAAAAGGGATAAATTGTACAAAGCACAGAGGGGCACTGGCCCTAAAGTGCCCATTTTGGAAATTATTTGTTACATGCAGATAAACTGAAAGCTTCAAGGGTCCATTTAAAATGATACAGAAATAATTTGCATCCATAATCGCTTTTGCGGATTAATGACCGGGGACAATAACATTGCTGTGTTTTTGGTCCTGCCTTGGTCTTTAAACAAACTTGGTAACACAGGTGTAAAAGGGCTGGTAAAAACACACAAATGGTCATTTGGAACGGGGTGCTGCTGAAGCAAAATCCTTCTCGCCTCCCATCAATAATGCTGACCTCAGCAAAGCAAATGGCCGATAATTGTTTAGAATGATCCACACCAGAGAGAGTAGCAGATATATTTCAGTCATTGCCATTCTAAACACAAGTAGCACTTAATAGTCTCAGCTCAACTGAAATGTTATGAGCATATAAAAAAGATGAATACTGAAGGCATTTGCATAATCCTTTTACATGACAAATATGTGTCTCCTTAAAATGACAGTTCAACCAAAAATTCTATCATGTTGTTCCAACTCCAAGCCCTTATGGCTTTCTTTTTTTTTCTGTGAAACAAAATGATGTTTTCCCGTGAATTGATCTTTATTCCATTCAACGACATCTCTGTATGTGTTTCACAGTCATTCTTATTTTAAAAGTAAATGATGACTGGATTTTCATGAACTATCCCTTTAAGATGCAATTATTTACTACGCATAAAGAGCACAGTACATCACCCTGTTTCTGCTAGAGCTTGTAACACTTCAAAGAGAAAGGAAAAATTGAAATCGCATCATATGACCCCTTTAAGTAATCTACGAGATTTATGTCTGGCCTATGCAATCTACGCACATCTTTTCACCTCATACTCTAGCGCGCGCGCTACATCCCTGCTTCATCCTATAATAATCAGAAACACAGCTAAAATCTGGGTCAGAATAAAAAAAAATGTGTTTCCAACAAATTAACCAGCTATTTCTGGCAGAATCGTTCAGTTATCAAAAATGTTAGCACTATGATAAAACATTTAACGTTAGCCTAGTGGCTCGTTAAAAAACGAACTTTCATATAGAAAACATCTAATCTAGCAAAAGTGGGGAAACAAGTCATAAATAAACTTATTTTTCTCACTCATATTTCTAATCCAAAATTCACATTTGCTTATCGACTTAGCATCTTCTATTCCTTGTACGGTGCGATCCTGTACATTCATTCACTATCACTGATGGCATAATCATACATGCTTTAAAACGGCTTGTTTTGCGACCTTTAGATAAATAAACCTGCAGACAATTCCGCGAACAAACCAGAAGTCACACAGACCTAGACAGAGGACGGCTGATACGATACCAGATCAGCAATATTCAACCTTTCATGAATGAACAACCTCGAACAGAGAGAAAGATATTTGAACCACATGCCAATAATCAAACATCTGAAGAATTATATGACAGATTAGACCTACCGCTGCTGATGCTGAGCTGTGCGTATGGCGCGTCGCGAGCGCGCACACAGACACCCGAGTGCGCGAGAGGGAGTGGGTGTGGCCTACGAGCCTGCCTTCACTTACATACTACGATACAGGATGATGACACTTGAAGAATGAGAAATATGCAACAATGTGATAGCATGTCAGTGTACATTTCTGTCTTTAATTGGACCTTGAATATATAAGTCATTTATAAATAAGATGTAGGGTGAACACTAGTAAAGGTGGCCCAATTTGCCAACTGAGTTAGAGCAAGCATTTCAAAGGCCTCCATTTCACCTGTTTTCACCCTGTATTCACCCATTTTTAAATGGACTGACATATTCAATTATTAATAATAATAATAATAATAATTTGCATAAAGAACAGTCAGTCAGTTTAGTACAAAGAACAATTCAAGCCTATTTGAGTACCCTGAAAAGTACTCTATCT